AAAAAAGGTTCAGTGATGATGGGAGGCAGGCGAGGTGTAAAAGCATGTGTGAGTCTGTGTGTGTCACCTGTCATGTTGCAGTAGACCAGCTGTGGTTTGATCGGTCCGCTGCCATCCACGTCAATGTAAAAATGTCCTGACGTGTTGCCGTTGTGTTTGTATGCCTCGCAGGACTGTTCGTACACAGCTGGGAGGAAAATAATGAGAACTACATCAACACGCTGACCCACCGGAGCTGCGAGGGGATGAAGATCACACACTGTGGAGGATTACTATGCTGTGGGTGCTGCTTCATACGTATGTATCACAACTGAATCAAAGTCCCGTGATCAGAGAAAAGAAAAAATAATCGGAGGTTCCTTTTCTGCACCGGCATCCCATAAACTAAAGTTTAATCCAACTGGAGATGACAGTAATGACTGATGGGAATACACAGCCTCAATAAATTTAACTTTATCAGACCTTCTCGCCTCTTTCTCTGTGTCTCCATAAGTCTTCCTCTCATCTCCGTCTCAAGCACGCAACAGTACATCTTCTGCAGTCAAAGAAAGGAGCCCTTCAATTCAAATCCATATCTGAAAGTTCCCACACTCTGCTCACCTGTTTATCTCGCTTCTTCTCCACAGCTAAAGGCTTTTTATTCCTCACACTCCCCGAGTGTGGTTAGAGACCAGTTTTCAAAGAAACATCAGAAATAAAAATGAGACCATAGGTAAACCGTGTGGGAAACGCTCCTTGTTTTAGTCTCGAGGATTTGACTCGAGGCATTCAGCACACAGCCACTAAATCTCACCTGCAAGCTCAACTCACCGTCACGGTTTTATATATTTATTCCCTCTTTGGTATTTTAGTCACAGCTACAGTCTCATTAACCTCCATCATATCACCTTATACACAAAAAGGCGTTATAGAGAGAAAAGATGTGCAGGTAATAAAATAGATCTCAGGGGACACCTCATCTAAAGTTTGATTCCATGATAAAGATTTATGGACACGCAAGCAGTCAGAAGATCACACAAGAGTTTTCATCTTCCTTCAGATAAACAATATTTTCTAAGCAGGTGTTTGTCAATATTTATTCTCTAACAAATACTTATATTAATTGAAAATTACATACTTTTATTCTCAGACTTTTTCTACAGCAGAGTCACAGTTAAAGATAGTTCTTATTTGTCTTATTTCGAGCATTAGTGCAGTTAATGCACCATCAGAGACAAGATGCTCAGCTCTCTTCTACTTTCCTTCAAGTGATCTTTCTTTTGGCCAGCTGAAAATCTGAATGGGAGGCTTCTGGGGCTTCCATACTCGTCACATGTGAGTATGTAACAGGTGAAAGGATTGTAAATAACACAAATCAGGTGTCAAAAATCAAGCTGATGCAGAAGTGCTTTAAACCTGGCCAGCAGGAAGTGACTTACTGAGGTGTACAAAGTCTGTTTGTATAGAGGTCTATGGGGAAATGACCCTCAGCTTTCTTTAGTTAGAGTCAAAAAGGGGGATAATGTAGGGTTTACTTCAGAGTGGGCCTCCCTCACTGACAAGTGGTACCATATGAGTGTGCAGGAAGTAGCAACAGCAAAAAAATACATAGCTGTGTACCACCCTTAGAGTTTACTTTGGTTGTCACACACAATAACGACAGGAATCACAGTTTTGTGTTACCAATGTAAAATGTTGGATATAACTTAATATTGTAAATAACTTAATAATTTTGACTGAACCAACCCACCCAAGGCATTTTTAATTGACTTTATTTTCCATTCCCCTTCCCTGTTTTTTTCCCCCCTCCTAGTTTAAATTATTCAAGATGAAAAACATCCTCATTATCTGGCTTGACACGCTATCTGTTCCTCATTTGCATTTCATCTGTCCCTCTTACCCTCCCCCCATCTTTCTCCATTTGCCCTCACTTGTTGTACTTGTCATGTGCTGATGTTTAGCTGTCGGGTGACTCACAGCTGTGGCAGGTTGCTCCGCTGTAGCCGGTGTCAGAGCAGTTACAGTGAAAGACGGTCCAGGATTGGCTGCAGCGGCCACCGTGTTCACAGCGACTGGGAGAACACCTGAGAGAGAGAGAGAGATATGTATAAACCAGGGGAAGAAATCCCAGTTTCCATCACGTTTTTGCAAGTAAAGAGACCATATCAGCAACAGGAAAAGGCACCATGCTGCATTCATTTTGATTAAAGCATTTTAAGAGCAGACTGTAACGTGTAGCTGGAGAGAAGATCCTGATGCAGGATGCAGATGCAGACAATACTGACAAAAAACACCCCAAACGACCAATTGGGAACAAATGTTTTTTTTAAATTTTTATTTTATGTTAATTCAATAAGCAGAAAAAATGAATAAATAAATAAATAAACATAATCGTGTGGAACAGCAAGAAACCCCAGAGAGTGCGAGAAAGAAGGGAAATACAAGCGAAATCAAACGGGAAACAAAGACAGAAAGCAACAGAAGCAGGACGTGAAATCACCACAAAATAACCTTCAAAGCAAATCACAAGACAAGTAACTACCATTAAGACACGTCTAATAACCAAACACAGAAAGAAAAGAAAGAA